CCTGCTGACATCAGTAAGTAATATTCTGAAGAAAGGACCCAAATAGACTGTTTGACTGTCTTTAGTTCCTCGTGGGATGCAGAGACAGGCTTCTTTCCTATGATCATGCACTGTCTTAAACTTCTTCACCAAGCAGTTTATTTGCACTTTTCTTCACAGTCAAGTTTTCTGGGTCAAGCTGCCTACAAGTGATGTTAACCTGCACTTAGCTAGCAGAGGGCTGTTTTCACACTTGCCTTTTGCTCAGACCACCCCTGAATTACAGGAAGCTCTGTTTTGTAACCTTTGAATTGCAGATCGGTTTTTCTTACCTATCTCACAGTCTCTAGAAAGAACATTTTGGCCTTGCAGTAAAGCATGCATTTAAAGATAATTGTATGCAAAGAAAAGAGGAGTGAGTTACAGTTTTCATTTCACTAATGATGATATCAGCTGGTATGTTTCTGACTTTCAACTTCCTAATTGCATTGTTATTCTGAATATTTCAGTGCCTTCACAGTGCAACTGGAACAAAATACGAATCTTTTCCCCAAAAAACCTTATGGTTCTTGGGGAAAAAGCTTTGTTGAGTTCTGCACGTGCCCAGAGGTGTCGCTATCTGAGCTCGGCTGAATAATGAGATGTCTGTCTTCAACCTTAAACATGCAAAGATTCACAAAGAAGCAACCTTGCCCTGAGTCTAAAATCCAGCCTCTCAGCCAGAGGCCCATGTGTGAAATAGGTGGAGGAATGTCTGAGCTAAGTTTACCATGTGAAAAATGTGTCTTCTTTGTCTTTGTGTCCATGTAAAATAGTTCTCCAGATGTGAAAAGCAAACACACTCGCACCACCCAGAAGCAAATACCTTTAAAGCCGCGTGCGCCCTGTGAGCCTTTATCGCCCCGAGCCCCCAGCAGGCCAAATTCTCCTTTGATTCCCTTGATGCCTGGTCTTCCTTTTAGGCCTGTCATGCCTTTGAAACCATCAATGCCAGGTGAACCTCTTGAGCCTTTAAAGAAAGAAGGGGAAGAGAACTGTTACCTCCCTCAGATTTCGGCAAACTAAGTAAATGTGAAACAGCAACACATGACTAAAATGGTATGAAAACTTGAGTGCAGCAGTGCCTATTTTTGGGTGCCTTAATGCCTAGGGCGATCTGCAGCTCTAGATCAGGCACCCAAGCTCTCTGAAAAGTAAACAAGAGCAGGGGTATGCTGAAGTGCCTCAACTGGCCAACAGGAGATGTTGTGGAGAGAACCAGAACTTAGCATCTTCTTCTGGAAGATCAGTTCAACCCTTCTCCTACAGATAAGCTAGAGAAAGACACCTAGTTCCTTGTAGGGTTTTTAGTAAGCCTGTTATTCTACATGTAGAGATACAAATCTTGAGTCTAGGACTGGCTGGCCCTTTCTCACCAAAAATTCCCATATTCCTCTTTTCTAAACAAGAGGATGCTGGTTTTCACAGGTCACGTGAACAAATAGATCTTCATTCCTTTCAAATGAAAGCTGGTCAGTACTCCAGAGTTGTCCTAGGAAAAAAATCCCATCTTTCCAACTGATGAAATTACAACATGCATTTTTATGTAAGCACCCCCCCACCCCTGCCTTTGTGTTTAACTTGGCTTCACATGAAGTTGAATCCTGTTGAAACTCCCTGTGTCATGTAGACAACTCGCATTATATATAGTGTTTTTCTGGCTGGCAAGTGAGAATCTCACCTTCTGTATATGTAAAATTAGTATCCTGGTGAAAGTCAACATTGAGGTCTTGTGTCTGGCATTGCTGAGTACACAACTTTCAGCTTTAAAAAACTGGAAGTTTTTTGAAGCAAAGACTTGGGGAAACATCTTTGTAATTTCACTGAGTGCCAGTGGGACTGAGACAAGGGAAAGATCTTTGGAGAGAGAAAAGAGTAAATACTGTATATTTTTCAAAAGGAAAAGAGTAAATACTGTATATTTTTCAAAAGGAGAAATAAAACAGCCATTGTGCTAAATAGAGCTGCACGGGTTTTTTTTACCATTTTGCCAAACACAACACAGGGGAAAGCAGTCAGTGACTTTGGAATATATTAGGCCTGTGACCCTAATTCTTCTGTTTCAGACAGAGGTAGCCCAGCAGGAAATGTGTCCTGTTCATCTCAGCACAGACCAGCTTTAAGCAACATTACTTTTCTCCAAAGCAGCTGTGCAGAGGCTCACCTTTATCTCCTGGAAAGCCATCCATTCCGCTTATGCCAGGGGGACCAGTCACGCCAGGTATACCTCGTAATCCCTCGAAACCTGTTTCACCTTTGTCTCCAGCCAGACCTTTCAGGCCCACAGGGCCAGGAAAGCCTTGCTCACCATCTTCTCCCCTAGCACCAGGTGGACCTGTCATATGAACATGCGAAAAGGGAGATTAGAAAGCGTTTGGACATAAATGACAATTTCATACAAGGTAGCTCAAAAGGGAGAAAACTGCTATCCTACCAGCTTCATACTGAGGTGGGGAAAATTATGATTTCTTTCAGCAAAGAACTCCAGAAATTATTACAAAGACAGAGCAGCTCATCAATGCAAACCAGTCACGCTACCAGCTTGGTTCTGTACCCACTCCCAACAGGACCTTCCCTTCCCCTTTAATTTAAGAATTACGCCCCTTTTCTGTTAGACTGCTCTCATTTGGTAGCTTCCTTCTCCCAGTCTTCCACCAGCAAGCTCCGATCTGGCTTGGTAGGTGGCTATAGAAGGAAAACCAGCAGCTCCGCCAGTGAGGACCATCATCACCTCTACTTCCCACCTGTGATACCAGCACAATTTGCAATTACAGTGTCTGCACTATTACTGCCATTTCCCTGGCTGGGCATTGAAGCATGGCATGTGCCACAACCCCAAGCTTAATTTTCCACTGTGGAAACCATACAGTTGCCCTGCCACAGAGAACTGGCAGGAGGAGTGACACAGGACAGGAATACTTCCTCACCATCAGGTCCTTGAGAGCCAGGCACACCATCTGGCCCAGGGTTTCCTGGTAGCCCTGGGAATCCACGCGTTGCCGGTATTCCTGGCAATCCCATCAAACCAGGGAGACCTTGCGGACCTGGATCTCCTTTGGGTCCTGGCAAACCTGGGTTACCATCCGCTCCTAAAATACCATAATCATGCATTAGAGTGCATAAATACCTAGAGAACTTATTATTACATACCATTTCTGTGTATGCACTAGTCTTTCAGGGTATGCTTTTCCTCTGAATGTTCAAGGAGAACAGGAAAAGCAAATTAAATGATTGCTCATTAGTTTTAAAATTATTGACATTAGCAGTACTGAACTCAATATTTGCATCAGAAATGTTGACTGGCTCCTTCAAATAAATGGAAATAATTTGGCACCAGGTAGACAGAGATGGATCAGGTCTCTTCCACTTTTAACCTCAAGAATTCTGCAGTTCCTGATCTCTCTCTTTACCACATACATCTTTGTAAGAACAAAATCAAGCAGCTGACTGAAGCCCTGAAATAACACTCTGTATCTTTTTCAAAATGTAATAGGCAGGAATGGGAACATTTAATTCAGATGGAGGGTTCTGGTTTTGTGTTATTGTTCAGAAATTTTTCAGATGAGGTTGTTACAAGGCATTGTTATGAGATTCATAAAGATTCCTAAGCAAAAAGTCCTTGATTCTACACGACTGAGTGCACTGGGTGAAAATTTACCTCTCTACGATGTAAGAGCAAAGAGAATGTCAAGATTTAAAAGGTATTGCCTGCTTTGCATTCATACTGGAGAAGCAGCAGTGTACAAGCCATCAAAAGTACTTGGCACTTAAAATCGAGGACAAGTGGATCTGCTTCACTTTATTCAGGTTTTACATCAGTGCAGGTCCACTGGCTTGACTACAGTTAAGTGTGCTTTTTAACTGAGGTCACGTAAGGTGAGGTTTCTCAAGAACAGAATATAGGCTTCAGCTCTCTGTTCTGAGGGGCTAGTAGTTTATGTGGCATAGATGATATAAAGGAATCACTAGCCACTTCATATAAAAATAAAAAAAAGACTCATACAAAAATTCACATGCTTATTGGAGCCGTTCTGTCAGAGCTGTAAATTAAATCAAGAACAGACAAACTAGTAATGCTTTTTCTTTTCACTGTATTTATTTTTTGTTATCACTGAAAACTTAGTTCTACAGAAATGCTTAGAAAGAAGGTGAAAAGTCACGCTTCTTTTTTCCTTTTCAATCCATGTTATACCTTGAATTTCTTCCCCTTTTCAGAGGTGTTAGTGATGTTTTCTGCCTTTTCTCAAACTTTTCAAGTGCCATAGAGCTACTTTCATCCCTTTCCTACACCCCGGGGCTCTACTGAAGGTGAAACTAGCTTTCCTCATTTCAAATAAATCATATAAGATGATGTTCTTCTTCTCTCTTTTTTTTTTAATTTGTATTGAAAATAATGAGAAGAGTCTCCAAAACAGGTTCCTGTGATAGGCCTCCTTGCATTAAGCTAGACACACAATTACTGCTGCTTTCTCACTTCCACAGTCAGGCAAGGGAGCAATTAGCAGTCCTAAATTTAACTATGTGACCAAATGCTATTGAAACTGCGTAGCAAGGGATGCTTAATTTCCATGTGTACTTATGAAGGTCCTCCATGGAATTCAGTGAGTGACAAAGTCAGATTTTGTAGAGAAACTACGGTTCATTCTGTTTTCTATAGGGAGTTTAGTGGGTTTTTTAGCTGTGTGAAATAATGAAACAAAATGAACACTCTAGAATTATTAATAAGTGTATACTGTTTTCTTGTTCTTGTTCCTGAGTGCCCAAAGAGTGACCAGGTAAAATGACTTATTAGCATTTACTAAACACTATGGCCTCTTACTTAAAATATACAAATTCTGCACTAGTGCAACATGCTATTCTGCGAAGCCCAATGTATTATCCCAACATCTTTTGGCGTGGGAAACAATCTCGGTATTATGCAGTATGTAAGTGAAAAGATACAGGATAACTACAACATTGTTCCCTTAGCTACAATGGGAAAAATTAACAGTACATCTGAACACAACAAAGATCAGCAAAATCTGGTTCTCTGGTATCCTATTGTAGCTGATTTCACGTAGTGCAATGTGAAGGAGGGCTGGTGATAAGCAATGGATCTTCAGGAGGTGTTTGGAGCAGCCAGGCATATTGGTAACAGTTGAAGTAGATGGGGAAGGGATGGGAGATCATCAGGCACTGAGATTTGATGCTGGGACATTAAGACCTCCAATGCATCTAAACACAATCTCTTATTACTCTCACATCTCTATAATTTGGCTACATTTATATCACACTCAAACATTTCTTTACTTGAAGTAGCTGTTACCTCTAATTCCTGGTATTCCTTGATCTCCTGGTGCGCCTTTTAACCCCGGGAAGCCAGGGAGCCCGACATCCCCTCGGGCACCTGCTGCTGCTCCTAAAACTTCACCAGGAAAGCCCTTCAGTCCTGCTGCTCCTGGAGCACCAGATTTTCCTGTAAGGCCTGGGTGTCCTTGCAGTCCAGGTAGGCCACTTGGGCCCCTGTCTCCCCTGGGGCCAGTGAAACCTATAAATAAAACAGGGATTAGGCATCACAGGGATCACTACTAATGCTGGAGTTCAAATCCTAGAGACACCATCATAATGCCTTTTGTATTATTGTAATTTCCCTTTGTTTTAGCAGAAACTGTAGAATCAATCAAAGTGTTATAAAAAAGTTTTTAAACCACATAACATTTGTAAGAACATTTGACCAAATGTGGAAATTGGCAGAACTTAGAGGTGACCCCCTCATGATACTAATACTAGTACTAATACTAGTATTTTCTTCCTTTCTGCATCATCATTCTGAGTATATTTAATTTGAAATCTGAAATGTCTTGTTACTGAATTTCTTTATTTCTCTGTGAACTTCGTGAATTTTTACTGTCACATTCATAATTTTGCACCAGAAAGCAAATTTTAAAAGGTTGGCGTCTATGTTACTTTTCATCATTACAGAAGTTGCAGGAAATCTTTCTGATTTGAAAAGCAGCAGTCTTGTATAGTAGTTTATTGTTGAACATGGAAGAGAAGGTAAGTGAAAATGTGTCTGGAATCAAGTTTTTGTATTTCAGTGACTATAGCAACGCAGTTGAAAGTTTACAAAGAATGACGATTTAATAATACCTGGAGGACCTGGGAATCCTTCCCGACCTGGATCACCTCGTGTACCATTTAGCCCTGGGTATCCCATTGGACCTGGATCACCTGGGAATCCTCTTGCACCTTTTGCACCTAAATTATATAAAAGAAAGCAAGAAAGTGTGATCTGAACAAATGAAACAGAAATGTGCATATAATGTAAGAAAAGGTAGTGGTTAAATATCATCAGGATCTGTTTCTGGATGCAAAGATGAAACTTTTTTTTTTAATTTAATGAGACTATACTGTAACTCTTCAGCAGTATTCAAAATCCCAAGACATGGACCAAAAATCTAGGTGATGTACTCTTACAAACATGGATTAACCTGCCTTAAAGACTAACAATATGGACAGTACTAAGGTGAAAATAATTAGTCTCATAGACTTTTAGAGGCTTTTAAAATTTTGTAGATTAAGACTTTTAGTTTAAGGTCAAAAGGCAATGTCAAAGAAAGATGCTCAACCAAAAAGGGCACAAATGACATGCTGTAGGAGGAACACATTTTTCCCTTCCTTGCTAAACTGATCGCAGAACAAGAGCAGACCGATTTAGATAACCACGAAACAGAAATGTAAGGCTAAAGGTTAGATCTAATCATCCTAGAAACTGAATACAAATTAACTAGCCTACTTACTATATTTGTAACTGTACAGGTCTATAGCTTTGGTAGTAAAAGAAGGGCTGTGCCCTGAAAAAGTGTTCCTCTAGCACTGAACTCATGTTCATTCCAAGTTATGTCCTGACAGGTAAAATGAGACCTCACTTCCTTGTGATGCAGTATTTGACATTTGGGTAAGGGCAAATATTACTGTTTCTTAACATCTCCAAACCTGCAAGCATTTCATACGATTCTTTTATGAAATTACATTATTAATTCACTTTTTAATGCAAGAGTCTTTTTACATGAGTCTCATTAATTCACTGTATTCCAAGATCAAGATTTTTTGGTCAAGTTCTTTGAAAATAACTCCCGCAGAATGCTTTGTTCCCCTGCCCTCCCCAGCTCCTCAAACTCTTTAAGTTCCCAGCTCAGGCTTGAAGGTCAACAACATGCTTTAACATTTTAAGTGCTGTTGCTTAGCATCACCATGAATTACAACTCATTTATTTATTACACTGAAAGCAAGTTGCTCTCCACCGCTAACTATGACAAACCAAGGAAAATATCACTTCAATTTTGAGATTTTTTTTCTACTTTAGTTTTCTGAATTTCTATTACTTATTTAATAATGATTTTTTTTTTTCAGTTTTAGCTGTTGTTTGTGAAGGGAAGAAGGAAACCTTTAAAAAGACCACAAATAAGGTGCACATACACAGCCAATGCAGCGTGAATAGCATTTTCCCAGTGCCATACAGGACTATTGTTCTCCCCCTTACATGAACAATAACATCTCAGAAAGCAATTAAAAGGAAAAATCCTAGGCTTTCAGGTCTCAATGAAAAATTCTAATGTGCCTCTTACCCAAATAACATCTTGGTCTTGTTTCCCATCTGTAATAACTGACTTCCATTCATTCTGTTCAGTATTGTGCTAATTAAAAAGCCATTAGAGAAAGAAGGTGGCAGATGGAGAATGCAACCACTGCTTACCACATATTTCAGTAACTTGCTATGCGATGTTAGCTGGTGTTAACATCTTGTGCCAAATAGCAGTAAGAAAAAGGGGGTTTTTAAATTTTAGACCAGTGTTTAGTTTGCAAGCACTTTATCTGTACATTTGAAACAGAAAACAACTTAAACAATTTATTCAACAGTGATCATGTAGGTCTTGCAACTACTGAATAACTGGGATGTAAATTAGGGTGGGCTGTGTATGTTGCAGGAATTTCAAAGGAATACAAGGGCATGAGGCTGTGAAACTACGAAGATGGCTCCTTGCTTGATGTACTGGTGCCATCAGCACCTAGGACACTGAGATATTTGATTGCCTACAGCAGAGCTCCATTCTGGCTGAAAAGAAGGTGGGAAATCTTGTGGACAAAACCACATCACTCTAAGCAGACAAGGAAAATAAGGTAAAGGGGTTGTTGGTGCTTTTGTGTCAATCTGGAGAATGTGGGTAGGAATGACGCTCCAGGAAACCAGATCGACACAGCTATGGCAACCAGAAGCTGTGAAAAGTTGTAAAATGTGTTCTGCTCCTTCCTGGGTCTCCAACTCCAGAACTGGCTCAGGATGAAAGTTGGCTACGAACAGAGTTCTACACTGAGCTCAGCAAGGGGCCTCTTCCAGTTTTTGGGGGGAAGGGATGCAAAAAAAATCTTAAAATTACTAAAACACATAAGCTGGCAAAGACAGATTTGTTAAAGAGCTAACTAAGAATACAAAATATAAAACACATGAAAACAGCATCACTTTTGTTACAGCAGACTTACAGCTATGAGTTAAATCTGACTGTATTTGCTGAAAGAAAAACCTTCAAGCTCATATGAATGAAAGAATAAACAAATCATCAAACTCAGCAAAAAATTACAAAGATGGCAAAGAAAAGAACCTTCAGAAGCATTGATCCTAACAACAAAAGGAAACATAGATCAGAGATACACATCATCTTTCAACAGAGATAAAATGTTCCCTTTTAAGATCCATTAGTGTCTGATAATCAATCTGTTGTTCCATGCATGCCATAATAAACCTTGTGCTGGGAAAAATCCCCAAATTTGGCCTTAAAATTTATAGACCAGATGGGTGCATCAAGAATTTTACATTTCCCAAACTCTCAATGACCCAGTTATGGTTTTTGCCAGTACCGTTACCAGTTGGCGATGAAAAGGATTTACTGAAAAACAGCTTTATTGCTTAGGATGGGAGTACATAAGCTTAGAGGAACTACCAGTGCTGGTCTGAGGATCCCTCCTCAAGGTCAATTGTTATGACCACTCAGTACACCTTGTCTGTATTTCTTTTAATTCCCATCCTACAGACCCTGTTCCCACCTTCTCTTTCTACTCCTTTTAGAAAGAAGTGGGGAACTCTCGGTGCTGGGAAGATTGGGCAAGAGCTCCCTCAAAATGTAGTGTGTGTGAGAAACAAAAACGAAGGCAAAATGTTACCTGTGGCTCCTGGCAGTCCTGGCTTGCCCTGGGACCCCTTTGGTGGCCTCACACAGCCTGCGCCTGCAAACAAAGTTAGACGCACTGTAAGTGCTTATGTGCTGCCTCTCATCAGCTCTGTGCCTGCAGCTGAGACAACATCACGTGAATGAAATAACTAGGCAAAACTCTAATTTAAAAGAAGTTTTATTCTTCATTAGAAAACCAATATAATTGCTCATGGGTGGCATTTTCAGGGGAGCACTCAAGCTGAGCTCCACCCCAAGAGCTGCACTTCTGCCTGTTTTACAGGGGCTGTGGTGGCTGCTTCAGATAGAGCAGCATGGGAAGTGTAGCCCAACTTCATGGATGACTGTATTTTTCAGAGAAAAAGAAACACTTTGTTTCCCTGTAGGCAATTTATAGCCCTGAAGCAATCAAGTAAATTTTTGGTACAAGTGAAGCGTTTTTTTCTTTACATGTCAAATTTAACTGAAAATCTTCACTCAAAATTCTTCTTTAAAAAAAGTTGCTTAAATTTTCTTTGGCACCTAATTTCTGGGACTGTTGTTACAGCTTGCATGGTAATAATTATTTTGTCTCAATAAACACTCAGGAGCAATGAAGTAAAGAATTTATGAACTGCAGAGCTAAAATTGCAATAATTTTAGAATACGTTCAATTTGGTTACATTACTTGAGAGCTACGTGCAATATATGTGTGGTTATTTGTGACCTGATGTTCAGTTTATGATCAAGAGCACCCAAAGCAGTCATCAAAGAGAAAGTATCAAGCCATAAGAGTAGCATAAGACTAAATATTAAGATACATTTAAGCCATTTATATGTACAGTACCTGACCATATTGGCTCAGTTCCATCTCCTCTAGAAAAGTCTTCAGTGACCTGCCCACAATCTATGAGCAAAGAACAGGAAAAGACAGTTATTATTTAGAGAGAAAAAATGTAAAATGCTCTCAGTTCTAATCAAAATGTCTATTAGAACATCAGATAATGTATTCTCTTATGTATTACGCATACATACAACAAAACCTATTTGCTATAACACACTGGAACTCTCTATCTATATATTAATTTCATCCAGGCCTGAAGCCTAACCCTGTCAGTGTTAGGAGGCTGTCTGTGCCGTGCAGTGTAGGGATGGTGGGTGCCTGCTCTAGCGTGCATGTTCTGCTAGGCATCTTGAAGTTGAGCAATAAAACTCTGAGCCTGAGCTCTTGTGAACATAGCCCTGCTGTTCTGACACTGGAAGGAACTCAGAAAGCTGCAGAGATACTATGAAGAGCTGTGAAGGATGGTTACATGAGTTCCTCTGGCCAATTAAAAAATTATGTTAAATGGGGAAGACCAGAGGAAACCACCTGTAAATACTCCAGTGGCAGGACATTGCTCTACTGCCTCCAACTGCTTTAAACTGGAAAGGTTTTACTTGCTGGCACTAACACATTCTTTCATGCTATTTCAATACCTGACATAAAACTACTGGGACTTCTGAAGTATTTCCTTCTTTAGGATTTCTGGACAACTAATACAAGTACTATCTTTTTACCCACATAACACCCCACCAGACATTGCCTTTTCAACAGAGGTGCTGTACAGATGCTGTACACAATTCAGTAATGATCTCCCATGGCTTTGATGCAAGACAGAGCGATGTCTCTTACCAAGTTGGCCAGGCTCTCCTGGCAGACCAGGCAGACCTGGAGGTCCAGGGCTTCCATCTTGTCCATGGTCACCTGGAGGACCTCGATACCCTTTTGGACCAGGAAATCCTTCACCTGGTGGACCTGCTTCTCCTGGAAAGCCTTTTGGGCCTAATTCACCTTGATAACCAGGATCACCAGGGAAACCTCTGATGCCATCACCCTGTGGGAAGTGAGCAGAGATGGTCACTTCTGACTTGCTGAGAAACAACCAAAACTCAAAATAGTTGAACTACTCTCATGAATAACATAGGCAGCAATTCCTCAGGTATTACATCCCAGCTCTTTAAATCAACATTGCAGATAAAATATATTGTAAATAATCAGACTTTAATTTAGACCCCATGGCAGAAAAGGCATGAGAGAAGCACTCTCAGATGGAGAATTCCCCTTAAAATGCTGGCCAGGGAACAGCACTTGGGCAGTATGAATCACTGCTGTTGACAGGCTTACTGCCCTTCCTGAAAAGCTGCAAGTGGGTTTTGGGGAAGTCACATGCATCATTAGAGATGTTCTGGTGTGGCATTCACTTCTGAGACCTTGAGAGAAGATGACATAAAACTGTGCCCAAATGGGCAGATTTTTTCTTTGCCTGTTCCTTTAGTGATATTTCTGCAATACTGAGTCAACATCTTATGGATATCACTAGAAAACGTTTCCATCCTCAGAAGTAACACAAAGTACCATCTCTACTGGGAGTAAAAAGCACTGTGGTCCAGATTGGATGATGTGGCTCTGGCCCATCTTCAAATATGATGTAAGAGCATCCCAGTGGTCCAAAACAGCATTTATGATACGTGAGATGAATTCCTCTTGCAAGGTACTGAACTTTTTATTTTGCCTACAGAAGTAGCTTAGAAAACCAACTGAGACTACGTCTAACTTCTAGATCACTACAGTTGGCTAGGTGAGGTGCTATCAAGCATATACATGATGACACAATCTACATTTTGAGGATGTAAAATTGTAGTAAATTTTGCTTTTCTTTCACTCACTTGTAACAAGGCTGTTGAAGGTCAGTGACACAGAATGTCTCTTAGACAAAGCTAGGAGGAGTCACTAATAAACCACTAACTATCACAAACTAACAACTAATAGCAAGCTGGTCTAAATGGGTTATATACTACTTAGCTGTTTAAATAAAACAGAAATACAAGTGAAAAATTGTTCTAAAACCCTTGAGAGTAAAACTGGTGTTTGATGTATCAATAACCAGGAAAGCCAGTCTAGTTGTGCATCATTATCTGTGAAAGAAGGAGACCCTGGTGATCATAACCCCTCAGAATTAAATGCATTAGTAACGAAGTGTGGTGGAAATGATTTAGGTAGATTTGCTACTTACTGGAAGGCCAGGCTGTCCTGGTAAACCATCTAATCCATCTCTGCCTGGGAAACCATCTTCACCTCTGATACCAGGCAGTCCAGGATCTCCTCGGATTCCTTTGGTGCCTAAAGAAGACCTTTCGTTGTGAGACCAATCGCTTATGAGACCAATCTTTTGTGAAATGTATAAATACACGTGATGTGAAATGTTACTCTACCTTTAGTAGTTATGTATAAAGAATCTCCCTTTTCTCCTTTTGGTCCAGGAAATCCATCTTGACCCGAAAAACCCTGGTGTTACACACATTGAAAAAAAAAGAAACAGAACCACTTAAGAAATAGGTACCAAGATTTGCATTTCCACTGTCCTGCCTAAAAAAAAAAAAGTATCTTTAAATTTTACTGCTTTCCCATTCCTTTCTGTGAATGATTTCCTCTTCAGTAATCCCATTCTTGTGCCTGAATCTTTATTAATATGCTCTAACCAGGACCAAGGTCTATGTGGTATGGTAGGGGTGCTTCTGCATGAGGATGGCATTGAGAGAGCTGTGGCACAGGACCAAACCCATGGTAGATGTCATGGCCCAGTGGTTACACATTCATTTGCCACTGAATATTTAATGCCAGTTAACTTTAGTACTGAATGATTCACTAAAACACAAGCCATGCATGTTATGTTCTCCCGAGCCTCCTCTTACTGAATTCCAGGGTAGACACTGAAAGAAAATGATGTACCTGATGCATTTATTTTTTGTTTAAAACATTCCTGTACCATAAATTATTTTAAAAGATGTCTTTTGCAGCACTGTCTTTTACTGACATTCTCCAAGAAACTGTATCTCAGCTGCAGGTCATCTCAAGAACACAGGTTCACACTTCTGTAAGTCTGAAGAGGGAGATCAGACTCCAGTGCAAGGATCCTGCTTTACCCAGCCATATTTTCAAACTGCATTTTAATGGTCAGTGAAATCACATCTATACATCACTGTAGAGATGTTTTTTTTGGACATTGCTTTTTGCAGGCTAAAAGAAATCTCAAGAACTTAATTTCTGAGCTATTTCACCAACTATATAACTGCAGAAATCTTCAGCAATAACACTGCATTAATAGTATGATGTTCACTTTATTATTTTTTGTTTTCCAAGTTTAGATGCTGTGTAGAAATGAAATTTAGAACACAGGTGTTTTCAAAATACTTTACAGCTGTTTCTAATTTCTCTTGCTCCATAGGAAAAAAAAATCACTGCTTAAGATAAAATTTTATTTTCATTAAAATGATATAGATTGGATACAAATTAGGTATATTTATTGTCTGTATAAATAATGTGCTGTATGTGCTCAGAGAATTATGGAGTCACTTCTGCGTAAGAATATGGAACAAGAATATTTAAGCTAAATTGTTTTGCTTTGAATTTGTTGCAGACCAAAAGCTGAGATAAAGTCAGGGCTCTGCTTCCGAGTGCTATTTAGCTATCTATGCTAGGTCTGTATACTGTCTCTTCTTCAAAAATTCTGAGACGAAAATATTGAAATTCTTCATTTCGAAGGCAAAAAAACCTTGTAGAACTTGCACAATTTTAACAAAAGTATCAACACTGAACTTTTCGAAAGTATTTTTGTCATTTTTATGACTTCTAGAAAGTAGAACTTTTCATAAAAGTATTTTGAATTTTCAGGGAAAAAAAGTGTTTTCTCTACTTTTTTTTGACATCAACAATCAAGTCAAATTTTATTTTATTTTAATTCTAAAAAAACCCAGAATTAAAGCTAGTTATGAGTTTGTTTATTAGATGTTCAGAAGAGCCCAAAGCACTAACTGAAAGCATTATGTTTGCTCTGACATCTCTGCAAAACAAAATCAGTTTTTGGGGCAGCTTTACAAAAATCTTATTCTAAAATCTTGAGAATGATGTGATTTCCTCAAGTCAATTCTGACTGTGAGGAACCATGGTGCAGTTGGCATACCACATAGCACAGCACTTTTAAGTGTAAACAACAAGCACGCAATTATAAGCAAAGGCTCTTCTCTGGGTTTCCAGGAAGACTTAACCTATTATAAACAAGAAACTCACATTTCATCAGTTTGATGTATGCATCTTATTAGCAACAATCTTAAGGAACTACTGAAATTGCGACCCTTCTAGATGGTCAGGTCATCCTCAGTACTACAGATGCTTGAAAAGGTTCTGCTGAAACAGCTTTGCTTAAATGGAAAGTGGACTTTGGATTATGTGGAAATCTTTGTTCTTCCCAAAAAATCCTATTTTCACTCCCATGCTAGCAATTTTTGGCTTTTAGTATTTTGTAGACAGCAATCTGAAGGCTAGCGAAGTGGCACAGAAATAAATAAATCATACTCTTCCATGGAGAATAGCTTAGTTTTTTTTTTTTCCTAGTAGCCACATAAAACTATGCAAAAAAGAACCAAATATCTCACTTTTGCTCCAGGGTAGCCAGGAATACCATGCGGCCCTTGATCACCAGGTTCTCCTTTCCTCCCAGGTTGGCCAGGGGTTCCTGGGAAGCCAGGAGGGCCAGGGAGGCCAGTGGAGCCCCTTCTGACTTCATCATCCACAAGGCACTTACTGCAATCGCCTTCTTCACCTAAGGAAAGGATTGGAAAGAGAAGAAAGAATGCTCTGTCACAACAAACAGATGTTCAGCTCTATCCATTTTATATATAGACTTGAGAATAGTTGAGTAGTTTGCAAAATAGCTGAGAAAAGTACTTCTTTTTTCTTATAAGCAACTAACACAATGTTTCATTGTTGCGTTAGCCCCAGATCAAATTCACCAGCCCCTGATCATGTCCTAGTTCAATAAAACCAGACTGGATACATGCAATCTTTACACAATGCATAACAGCAGATTATCTATTGTGTCTTCTGTTATGACCTACCTTTAGGTCCTTTTGATCCTCTTGGCCCAGGGAAACCTTGTATGCCAAATCTACCCGGTGTCCCCTCGTATCCTTTTAATCCAAAGAGAGGACCTAAAGGTTTAACAAAATTTAAAGAAAAAATTAATCTACTGTAGATTTACTTTTCTTCTCTTTCTTCCTTATTCCTTTGAGCTGCATCTGCCCTTTTCCGTTTCCCCTAATATCAATTGCTGCCAAACCCAACCTGTTCCTCTCTACCCCCTGCTTTCTTCCCTTCTCCCTCTTATCACAACTTCTCACACCTGTTCTCAGTAACTTCCATCTGCTATGACAGATGATCCTTGCCATTCTTTGCTCTATCTCATCCCGAATTCCTCTGCTCCCCTCTCTCAGCACAACCTACACTGCAGTACCTCAGACCGCTTGCTTTGGCTCACTTCTTGCACATCCTTTTCTCTGCTCCTGCTCTTGCACTGCAGTGTGGTGCCTCCTGCAGAGGCACAGCACAATCTCAGTCAGAAGTGGCCTCTGGAAGCCACCTGGTCCAACTCTCAGCTCAAAGCAGGGCCAACCTCAAGGTTACAGCAAGTTGCTCAGGACCTTGTCCAGCTAAGTACTGAATATCTCCAAAGATGGAGAGTCTGCAACTAGGAAACCTGTTCCACTGTCTGACCACTCTCATGGTGAAAAACGTTTTCCTAATATCTGAGCAGAATCTCCCTTGTGGTAGCTCATGACCATTGCTTCTTGCCCTGTTGCTGCACTCCTTAGTGAAGCATCTGGTTCCATGTTCCCTATGAGCTCCTGAGAGGTAGGGGAAGATAACAGTAAGATTACCCTTAGCTTTCTCTTCTCCAGGACAAGGAAGAAATTAATCTCTCTCAGACACTCCTTGACACTCACATGTCATATGCTCCAGCCCCATAACCATCTTGATCCCCATATCCCTCACCCAGCCCCAAGCAGACCTTCTTTTCTTTCAGATGTTGCCAGGAATGTCTAAAAACCATGCAAACCTTTCCTTCACTGATAAGCACATAACACTTCTCCCCTGTGTGGCCACCCATTTCATTCCATACCCTCAAACTACTTTCTCACTTTGCCTTGCCAGCAGCTATCTTTACAAGAAGCGAAGATGTTCCTGTGAATTCTCATCACCTCTTTTTGTGCACTTACCAGGGGCTCCAGCAGGACCAGGTGGACCACGGAGGCCGGGTGTGCCGTGCTTACCAGGGAACCCAGGTGGGCCTGACTGATAAGCAGGAGATCCTGATTCACCTTTTTCACCTTTTGGTCCCATTTCTCCAGGTAAGCCTGGCTTATCCCCATCCGCTGCAACAGAACCAGGCAAGAAGTTCAGAACCATGTCTTAACAATGCTGCTCAAAGAGTTGTAATGTAACACAACTGCATTTGGCAGGCAAGGAAAAATGGAGATATTTCGCGCAGAGCAAAAAGGGTAAGTGTACCTTTCACTTGAGAAAACCAATGGCAGTTACTGAAGCAAGGCTCTGCCATCATCTCTACTTCAGTTACAGAATCACAGAACCACAGAATCAC